GCCTTGGCGATAAGTATTCCTTAATAGCTGTGTAGATTATACCACGAGTCAATAATGATAGCTATTATATCCCCGAGGAATATTTACGAACTGAGCCGCGTTAGCGGCGAGGGAGTAACATTCCGAGGGAATAATAGCCGTTATTGCGAGTAGTGTACTCTACTTTATTTACGACAAATTAATTTATTTGAAATTTTCTTTCCAAAAACGCTCTTTGTTCATCCATGTCAATACTAATACATGCAAATACACAAGCACTATGCGTTTGTCACTGACACTTTTGAGTTTGTTCAGTTATATTATTTCCATGGTACTAATTATTTAATTTGAGAAATTCTGTGATTGGTGTGCAAGCGGGAATAATGACCATTAATCCCTAGGGGAATAATATATATGGCATTATACTGCCAAAGTCACAAATATAATACATTATATGTCAGTCGTAAATAAAATGACATTTTTATATGGAGAAATGTGACTTTAAGGAATACTTATCGCTAAGGCTTCCTCAAAATGGTCGGTGCAAACGGCCATTAATCCCTAAGGTGCATAAATAATTTTGTAATAAATAAATTCTGTGTTTAATTTCCCCAATTTCCTGAATTTCTGGTGAAATTTATCATTAAAACAGATAAAAAAGTTTTGCGTTGCAATAAAATAAATCGGCCGACTACTGGTTGGCGATTGGCCGACATTGGATTTTTGACGGCCGAGTACTGGGCAAATTGTATATTTTCATTATTTATTTTTTTCTAATTTTTATGTACATACTTATGCTGTTTTTGAGTTTTGGAGACTATAAGGACATAACCTAACAGTACCTATGGCACAATAACGTTAGGTTAAATTCTTGAATAATATTTTTTAAATTTATCATTAGTAGAAGATGGTGTTAAGTGGCTGACTACTGGCAATAATAAATCCGACGCATTTGGGCGCCAATCATATTTATTCGACTGTGGGTTGTCAAGAAGTGTTATAGTAATGTTTGAACCACCTCGGAAACGATAAGCTAATTTTTGTGCAGTTTTTTATGCATGTATGTAATTGTTGATATTAAAAATAGCTGAATAACTTTGCATACTGTCTCTATACTGTCTAGGACTGCCTATTGAAACTTTACTCAGAAATAGATTGATATTTTGTGCATCTTTAGTAAGTTACTTTCCCTTTTTAAGAAAAAGAAATATATACATGAAAAGGTAAAGTGGCGGTTGTTGCATTGTTGCCAAGTGTCGGTTTCTATCACGCTATACAGGAAAGAATCATGAATAATTTCGATTTCATTAGAACTGAGATTCAAATTCTTTATTATCAATTAACCTTAAGGGAAATGAAACGAGACTTGTGCAACATTTCGTCGATCTTCATGGACGGTCATGATGAGTCTATAAAGGTTCAGGTACATGACTCTTCAAAAGAAGAGTTAACAAGGGAAATGGCAGATTTGAGGAAATGTGTCAACCAAATGGCGCTCACGTTGGAAAAATTAGCAGGCAAGGAGAAACCGTCTACTAGGAGCAGCCCGCCACCTGTAAAAAAGTCAATTACAGCGTCGATTTCAACCCAGACCGATAGTGAAGAGACATCCCCTGTTACGCAAGTGGTCATTGATTCCCGAGTCTGTCCCCCACCTCAGAATTCCGCCCTAAAAGAAAACTGGCATTATGTGGTAGTGTCAAAAATCCCCCATCCTTTTACAGCAAAACAGCTTGCTCATTTTGTAAAGGAAAAACTTGGAACCACGGAGTTTATCAGATGCTTTCCAATGCTCCAAAATAAAGACTGCTCTCACACTGATTTCAAAGTTGGCGTTCAAAACAAAAATCACCTAAAGCAGCTTTTAGACAGAAGCATGTGGCCTCCAGGTACGGGTATAGAGACTGCTAATTCATCTGCAACACTTTTAAAGGCATCGCCACCGTCGGCAGCAATTACAGTAGATCCACAGCATCAGTCTCATCACCATTTCAAACCCAACACTGCGGAGGGCCGAAGTAGACCACTAAACTCTGACTCAACCCCGATTAACCCGACTAAGGATGATAAAAACTATCAGGATTGGTTCTGACAGGGAGGCTATAGCTGTTTCTAAGTCCCTGGCACTAGACAGCACAAAAATTGTTATGGATACAAGTAGAAAAAAAGATGAATCAATCATGGACCCGATGACTCCACCCATTGTGCGATTATCGCGAGCTTCTGATACAGCTGATGGTCGATATTTATTGGCTAGACTAAGAGACCCTGCCATTCTTAAAGCTCTTAGGCTATTCCTGGCTTATCTCCATGACCAACCATCCACCGTGTGTTTTGATGGGCACACTAACACCAGCATCAAATTAATGTTAGCTTCGGAGGGACTTCCTAGTGACTTGGACTCATTGCGGAAGTTATATTTCCGTTTCCACAACGCGTATGGCATTGGTCTGGCTGAAGTTGACGCTGATCTCTCCGCCTTCAGGTCTTACTTCTCGTCCGAGAAACTTCTCCGGTTACAGAATATTAGGGAAAGTCAGAGCAAATATTTCTCTAGTGGCTCTCCACGTAATAATAAATTTTTTTAGATAAGGTGACGCGACCAGAGGATCAAGCACCCTCTGTAAGGTTGGACGATGGCAAGCTTAGTGTATTTCTTATTAATATTCAGTCCTTAAGACACAAAACAGATGAATTATTTCTTTTATTAGAAGAGCTTAATTTTCCAGAAATCATCGCCATTACTGAACACTGGTTAAATATGGATGAACCTGTGTTTGTCAAAAATTACACCTCAATAGCTAGATTTAATCGAAGTAATTTATCTCACGGAGGCACTATGATAATGTTCACTAATAATGACTTTACTGCAATAACCAAGTTTGATAATTTATTATCGGAAAAAATATTTGAATTTTCCATCGTCTATCATAGTGGTTTTGACCTTTATATTGTTTGTTTATATCGATCACCGGACACAGACGCGCACATGTTTTGTCGGAATTTGCTGAGCTTGCTTGACTCCTTGCCCTTGAATTGCAAAATAATTTTATGTGGTGACTATAATATAAATTTTTCCTGTGTGTGCGCTGCTCAAGAATCTCTCCAGTCCATTTTCGACTCCTTTGGGATTGTGATGCATGTAAACTCTCCAACCAGAATAACCAAAACTAGTTCTACTACCATTGACTACTCTACTCTACTCTTGCATGTTTTTGACGCCAGCTCCCCAACTATTAACCTGGAATGCCTAATTGTTTTTATGGTGTTTTCAGCATATTATGGGAGAATACAAAAAAAAAACTTGGTTGCAGGACCTATGCTGATTATGATAGCGGAATGTTGAAACCAGCGATTGAAGAACGAGTAGGTAAATCCTATCGATTATTATCAAAAAAATATGGCATTTCCAGGTGCACCATTTAACGAAAAGTGAATAATCTCAATAAAAAAAAATCCCGGTGGTCAAATAGTCTTTACAGTGGAAGAGGAGCAGAGACTTTGTGGATTGTGGAAAATTTAGAAGTTGCTTGCCGTTGGGGGGGGCTTTCGTATCACGGACAACGACTTAAAACCTTTGGTAAAGTCGCAAAGATGGACGGGGTGATCAAAAATTCAAAAAAAATAACTTGCCTGGGAAAGATTGGGTCCGGCTTTTTTTAAAGAGGTCACATTTCAAACACTCCGTTGGTGTGACAATATCAAGCCTGCTTGCGCTAGGAGTCAATAGCCACCTTTTAAAAAACGTTTCTTTTGTCTCAAGTGATCCTTTTAGCTTGAAACATGAAACATGAGCAAAAGCTTGAAAAATATGGTTGTTGGTTGTCTCAAGTAACCCACCCTAGCGTCCGACATGAGACAGTCAAAAAAAAATTAAAAACCCTAGGTAACTTGTTATTCACATAAAACTCAACTTAGGCCCAGTTGTACAAACCAGGTTCAAACAGAGGCTCAGTTGAACTCTACTGGTACTTGAACCTTCCCATTTGAAATGCATTGCTGTCAGAAATATGCCAAAATATATATTTCTTGACAGCAATGCAATTCAAATGGTAAAGTTCAAATACCAGTAGAGTTCAACTAAACCTCTGTTTGAACCTGGACTGTACAACTGGACCTTATAAAACCGATTCTACGGGTTAAGACTCAACTTTTGACGTGTTTAAGTCATCGCTAAGTTAAATAGTTTCGAAAATATCGCTTGCTGAAAGTCAAAATCGTCTCAAGTCACCCGATTTTACGGTACTTGACTTAAATGATATGAATACCTACGAGTAACGTCAAAATTTGTCCTGCATTTGAAAATAGTCTCCCATATGGAACCGAAGCTGCTACAACGCTCAAGTATTTTGAAGCTATCTTTGATAGTCGCAGATATACACTCTTTATTTCTTCCCGATGTCTAACAAGTAGATTTTCATCAAATTTTGTTCAGGGAATGAAAGTACTGGTGTAGTATTTAGAGGAAAACATCGAAAAAACATCGCAAAGAAATATCGATGTTCTCTAATAATATCGAATAAAGAAACATCGAACATCGAAATAAGAAAATCGATGTTTTTGAAACATCGATACATCATGCGCATTCCTAAGATAAAACCGGTTATTCTTAGGTCTGACCGATACGTTAACTAAAGGTTAGCCCGCATTTATCTGATAGATATCACTATACGGTAGTGAAAATACACTCGTTTTTCTTATCCCTTGGATATTCTCTAATCTGTAGAATAAATATCGCTAGTTTGTTTTTTTTTTAAAGATAATTCCCCAAGTCAAAATTTTAGTAACTATGTTGGCAACACAAGCCTTTTCTACATAACAAATTTGAAAGTATTGACAATTTTACATTGTATTGCCAACACAATGTCATTTTCACTTTCATCTTTAAAAAAAAACAGATATGTTGCATCACGCATTCTGTTCCCTGCAAATCGGGGGCGACTGAGCACCGCCAGCACCGGAGCGAGTAGCTCGAGTGTTTCAAACTCTTGAAAGGAATACAACTATTGCGCGAGGCTGTGATTGCGCCCAATATTGCGCCTATGCGAAATGTCATTGCCCCCATTTTGTTATCTGTCAGCACCGTGTCAGCTGTTTGACGCCATTTTTTTTGTGTTTGACATTACAGTGGAGCTGCCACAGAAATTTTGTGGAACCGAAAAAGAAATCGGCCATCATCTTGATAATCCGCCAAGATTATTTCGTAATTCAAGATGACGACGGGAATGCCGGAATTGGGGTCCAAAATCAGTCTAATCTCAAAGGCAGATATTCGCTACGAAGGCCGATTATTTACTGTTGACCCTCAAGAATGCACAATAGCTTTGGCATCCGGTAAGTTTGATTATTTTTGTGTTCTCTACTACTAATTAAAATTTTATAATATTAACGCTTTATAGGTCTATTTTGCGTATTCAATAATTGTTCATCTATCGCTGATTTGATTAGAAATTTCCTTACAAATATAGCTGTAAAATAGATACAGTTATTATACAAAAAAAAAAAATTGGTAATTGAATACCTATTTGAAAGACCCTGTACCTATTTATTTATTCCAAATTTTTATTCAATTTGCTAATTATTAATGGGTTTTTACTATTTCTAGCTATGAAAATTCAAACAAAAAATGCTTGTGCAAACTACCTTGAAATTCCAAATTGTTTTTGTTGCAAAAAATGTTTATGGCATCCTGATAAAAGTACCTACCTTTTTTTTGTCTTCAGGATTAGAATTTATACATTCCTATAGTTTTTTAAGTGTTCAATGTTAATCTTATTGAAATAAATTTTTCCATTTTAAATTATTTTTTTGCAAATTCTCAGATCAACTAGGTACTCTTTTACATAATTATTTTAAAATTTCTAGGTTTAGGTGAAGCAATAGTTACACATTGCCCATGCATTTCTACGAAAGCGTAGAGCTGCCATGCTAATATTAAAAAATATTTTTATAAAAATTTACAGTTTTTCTGTAAATTTACCAATAACCCTGTGAGTTTGCAGTTTTAACATTAAAAAACTTTCAACGATAATAACCCGGTTAGTTTGGCTTAGTTTGCGATTTTAATCAAACATTACCATTATGTTTTCCAAATTATTGATTTTCGAATTATTAATTTTCGAAAAATATATTTTCAAAATTATTGAATTTTGAAAGAAAAGATTCGAAATAAGCGTTTTCGAAAAGGTTTATTTTCGAAATAACAGCATTCGGCAAAAAATCGAAATTTGTATTCTTGAAAATTGAACATGCATACAGGACTGATAAAAATTGCAAACTTATCCGAACTAATCGGGTTATTGTTATTGTTGTTGGTAATGTCAGACTCTAAATTGCAAAATAACCCAAACTAACCAGGTTATTATCGGTAAATTTGGTAATGCCTTCTTAAAACTGCCAACTAACACAAACTACCCAGGTTATGATTGGTAAGTTTGGTAATGCATTTTTAAAACTGTAAACTAATGGGGTTATTATCCGCGAGTTGTCAGTAACCCAAACTAACCAGGTTGTTATTGGTAAGATTGGATATATGCCTGATTAAAATTACAAACTAACTTAAACTAACCGGGTTATTATCGGTAAGTCTGTAATGTCCGTCGTTTTTAATCTGACACTTTCCGTATGAAGAGCGAGGAGGTGAAGATTATAGCAAAAACAGGTGTAACTTCAGGTGACCATTGGCGTTCTAATGTCCGATGCAGCAAGGTTTGGTCGATATAACGTTGAATTTACGATACTTCCCAACGTTGCATTACGTTGTAACAACAGTTGAATGTACGTTGACAGGACGGCACAATGTCATAATTGAGACAACGTTGAATGTGACCGTTGAATTAACGTCGTTTTTTTTTGTTGGCCTCAATCTTATAACAACGTTGATCAGATGTATTCGAGACGTCAGATTTCACGTTGAACTCAACCGTTATCACAACCTTGACCAGATGTGATGTAATTAAGACGTCAGATTTTACGTTGAGCCTGAGGTTGAGCTCAACCTTTATTTACAAGTTGAAATAGAAAAAATAGAACAAAAAACATGCTTCATAAGACATTTGATATCAAATTGCGTCTTATGAAACTTGTTCTATAGCTGGCTCTGGCAGAACATTTTTCAATTAAAATAAAATCACCAAAATGTTTGAGGTTATATAGGTACTTTATTCCACACATTTTTTAAATAAACACAAACCACAAACTCTTTGACACAAAATTTAATATATCGAAACAGTAAGGGGACACAAATTTGATCAAAATAAAACATTATTTGGAAGATTGTTAAAATTCAACTGGCTTGCTTGCTCTTAAATAGGAATTGAAAAGTATGAAAAGATTTCTATAATTTTGAGGAATTATTTCCGCCTACCAACAATTTCCACCAATTGAAGTTAAATCCAGGCTGGACACATTAATAAACACACAATGACAAAAATAATAACACCCCCAAGAATTGAGCTGGTGGTTCCCTACATTAGAACGCCAATGGTCACCTGACGTTACACCCGTTTTTGCTATAATCTTCACCTCCTCGCTCTTCATACGGAAAGTGTCAGATTAAAAACGACGGACATTACAGACTTACCGATAATAACCAGGTTAGTTTAAGTTAGTTTGTAATTTTAATCAGGCATATATCCAATCTTACCAATAACAACCTGGTTAGTTTGGGTTACTGACAACTCGCGGATAATAACCCCATTAGTTTACAGTTTTAAAAATGCATTACCAAACTTACCAATCATAACCTGGGTAGTTTGTGTTAGTTGGCAGTTTTAAGAAGGCATTACCAAATTTACCGATAATAACCCGGTAAGTTTTGGTAACTTTGCAATTTTAATTAAACATTTCCAAACTTACCGATAATAACCTGATTAGTTTGGGTTATTTTGCAATTTAGAGTCTGACATTACCAACAACAATAACAATAACCTGATTAGTTCGGATAAGTTTGCAATTTTTATCAGTCCTGTATGCATGTTCAATTTTCGAGAATACAAATTTCGATTTTTTGCTGAATGCTGTTATTTCGAAAATAAACCTTTTCGAAAACGCTTATTTCGAATCTTTTCTTTCAAAATTCAATAATTTTGAAAATATATTTTTCGAAAATTAATAATTCGAAAATCAATAATTTGGAAAACATAATGGTAATGTTTGATTAAAATCGCAAACTAAGCCAAACTAACCGGGTTATTATCGTTGAAAGTTTATTAATGTTAAAACTGCAAACTCACCGGGTTATTATCGGTAAGTTTGGTGATCTCTGATTAAAATTGCAAGCTAACCCAAACTAACCCTTACTATTAACTGAATTTACAGAAAAAGTGTAAACTTACAGAAAAAGTGTAAATTTACAGAAATAGTGTAAATTTTTATAAAAATATTTTTTAATATTAGCATGGCAGCTCTACGCTTTCGTACATTTCAATTATTTTTTTTTTTTTTTTTTTTGATTTCCTAGATCTTTTAAAAAAAGAATATGGTTAAATTTCTATCCATATCAAGATTTAGTCAGCCAAGACTTCAAATGGCTTTTGAGTAAAATTTTAAATAATTATTCACCGCCAAGTATTGTGGGTTTCAACAAGAAATAAACATAAACACTCTAATTCCAAGAAGGGAACTGTTTGATAGGTAATAGATACTCAGTAGACATTCTTTCAGGCTGATAGTAGAAACTAGAACTTTACATTGTTCTCCAAGTGGCAACTTGAGGGAAGATCCACCTCAAGATTCACTAAACAAACTTTATAACTGCCCTTTGTTATTTCACCCTTATACATTTTATTAGCTTAGGAACTGCAAGGAGAATTACACAATTAGTTTTCAGTACTAGTTTGTGATCAGACACCTTGCTATAGAAATAGAAATTGATAGTATGTCAAGTTAAATTACCTAGTATATAATTTAATTTTTCTCAGTTTCTTACATTCTTTGAAGATAAAATATTTTTCCTCAAAAAGCAGAAGTACAATGAAAGATACTGTTTAGATATTCAAGTTTGCTTTTGAAGAAATATGTAATAATTATTTTCAGCAGAAACAAAAAAAGTATCTTTAGAACTAAAATATGTAACTTTTTTTTTTTCAGTACGTTCTTTTGGTACCGAAGAGCGTGACACCCAGTTCCCAGTCCCAGCTCAGAACCAAGTCTACGACTACATCCTTTTTAGAGGTTCAGACATCAAGGACATTCGTGTAGTCAACAGCGTACCCCATCCTCAGCCCCTCAATGATCCGGCTATTATGCAACTATCAGTGCCCCCAACTCTGGGCGGGCAACAGTATCAACAACATCCTATTCTGGGCCATATGGGACACAATCCTTATGGATCGTTTATGCCGCTGGGTGGACTAACAGCCAGTGCCAGCACGGGCCTTCAGACTGGCATCAGTAGGGCAGGTTCCACTTCCGGCGGTGCTTCGAAGCCAAGTGAGTTGATAATTTCGCCACTGGGGGCGCCAATAGATGTTGGTGTTGTGGCACCCGCGATTTTATCTCCTCCTCCTGGAGAGCCTCCTAGGCCCAACGAGCACTCTGGTAACAAATCTTATTTTTTTTTCTCACTTTGCATTTGCTTGCTGCTTTGATTTGGTTTTTTTAGGTAATGTATCATAGATTCCATTTACATTCAATGTAGTTTAATATGTTCCATTTCATTTTAACTTCTATTTAATTGAAGCTAGAACTTTCTACTAGCCCACAAAACATTTATTTTTCTATTCTAAGGTAGGTTATAGTTGAATTTAGAAATATACTCTAATTGCATGTGACACTTTTGATAACAATTCAAAATGTAATAAATAAGTAAATTTTCCTCAGTTTACCCACTATAAAAGTAAGTATAGTCCATAAAAACAATTGTATTTTTCATTTCAAATACATTTGTGCTTCAAATTCTCATATCATAGAATTATTTAACTTCTTGCCAGAAAAAGTGAGTAGCTTGACAGAAATCATATACATTTCATGCTTTTGTTACCATAACTGCTTTTTGCCGCACATTCCTTATTTTATATAAGGTACCTGTCCCAAATAAGGCCACATTAAGAAGTTTTATTTTTTCCTAACAATATCCACCAAACCCAACAAAAACCACGAGCTTATATGTGAAGTGTTTTGCTTCTATTACTTGAATATTAACGCCAATTTATTTATTTTTCTGAATAAGTGGTCGTTTTTGCGTAAAACAAAGACGCTTACCATTGGCCTTATTAGGATCACTATGCTCCTAATAAGGCCACCATTAAAAAATGCTTAAAATAAATACAATTATTTATAAAAATATTATTTGAGAAATAGTACACAAAGTAGAACTTATATGTTTGCTGCATTCCTAAAAAAACAATAATTCCAAGTCCTGGTGATCCGAATAGGTCTATATACAACTAGAACAAATGAACCGCAGTATCTCTTGCTTGGAGAGACTCCAGGCATTTCAAAAAACACTTAGGTAATAATATGACACATTCTTTTAAAAAAACACTGTGATGTGAGGCCGATTGAACATTTTTCGTATGATGGCCTTATTAGGAACATGTTGAATTGATTAAAAAAAGTCTGTAACTAGAAATCTAGCAAAGATATTATTCTGTAATTACTCTGTAGCTTTCTCAATACATAAATATCCGTGTGAAAATTACATTCGCTCCATTCACTTTATAAATATGTGTATAAACTGATTAAGTTCCAGCCTCACAGTTATAACGTGACATATGAAATATGTGGTTGGCCATTTTTCGACATATGACGAGTTGCTAGGAACCCTTGCATTAATTTTTGATTTGCATTATAGATTTCTGTTTTAATAATATCGTAATTTTTGGAAATGGGATTCAATATTAAGCAATAAAGGGCACTGGCCTTATTAGGTACATGGCCTTATTTGGGTCAGGTACTTATTTGTTTTTTATGGTCCATGATTGCCTATCTGACAGTGGACTTGTATTCAATCAATCAATATATTACAGAATTTTTTTCTAATTTACATTGTTTAACAAAGTATACTTATTGCTATGTGTAGTCTTAATTTGCTATTTTAACACCTAGTTGATTTGTTCCCCTGTATATATTACATATTTTCAATTGGTTTGAAAATCAGTATACTTACATTTTGTATTTTTTCTAAATATTTTAATTTTAAAAACTAATATTATGTAAATATTTGCAGTGTAAGGCGCTAAGAATTATTTTACTAACAATTGAATTTATCCCTATTTATTAATTTCTTTCTAATGACTTCATTTCAGAAGTTTAATGAATTCCTCATTTTTGTTAAATATAGGACATCTACAGTTTTTGATAATTTTTTTTCAAATTTGATATTTTTCTTAATTCTATTGGTAGTAAGTTGAAAAACTTTGGGCCCAAGTGGTTTAAGAATCTTAAGTTCATTGTTGACTTACTTTGCAGTACCTGTAAGTTTATTTGAGTATTAGTTCGAGTTTGGTAATCATAATTCACATATTTCTTAAATTTACTTTGTTTGTATACAAAAATGCATGTTTTGAAGATGTATAATCTATAAGGATCTTACATTAAAAATCTGATCATTATTGATTTGATATTTCCAACAACCAATATTAACATAAACATTTAATTAGTAGAATAATCCACTGTCAGTTACCCAGGCGAATCAGGAATGCTTCTAAAAATCTCAGTTTAGATTCTGTTTTAGATTTCATTGGAGGGGGCGCAAGCCGGAGTACCACCCCTGCTTCCATGGGGTCCCGTAGGTCCATGTCAATTGACCAGGGTACTCAAGCGGGTGGAAATCCAAGGGTAAGTTACAGGTTTCTGTTAAAATTCATATTTTTCTAGCAAGGAGACTATAAATGAATAATTTCTTTTTAAATAATAGGGAACTTGCAAGTGAAGTAAAATTTTCCAAATTTGTTTTAAATCGATAGTTTATGCTGCACAATATTCATATGACCAGTTTTTATTTAACTGATACCGCCCTTGTTACACAAAAAATAATATTAAATTTGAAATAAAAACTTTCCCGCCAAAACAATGCTCCATGATGAATACCTGTTTTGACGTCACGATTCTGTAAACAAACCCGTCAATAGGGAAATCTGTGATAGGGAATTTGCACGTAAAAAAAATAAAAAAGCAGTCCTTTACAATAGTCTTCATCCATTGCGACAATTTTCATAAAAAGCAAACTTTAACACACTTGAATAACACAAAAATAGCACTGCGTTAGCAGGAGTTCGTTTGCTTTGTATTTGATGTTTACAAAATCTCAACGTCACAGGCGCTGTAAAATTGAGATTTCGTGTTTTCGCGCCAAAGTATTTCATTTGAATTTCAATAATTTTTTTTTTCGTACAACGTATAAATTAAAATGGAAAAAAAGAAAATTATGTAATAACTGACGACTAGAAGTATCTAAAAAAAAATAATTTGAGAAATATGAAAATTCCCTATTGTGCAATTTTGATAAAATAATTGTAATTGTTGTTTTATTCTCAGGATAAGAGGCAAGTTAAACCAATCCAGCCACCCAGGGGTCAACACCAGCAAAGGGTGAGATCAAATGAAAGGAGGGATTCTCAAAACAGGAATGCAGATAATCAGGTAATAATTGCTTGTATAAAATGGTGGTTTATAAATATTTTTTTGTCATACGCTCCCAAAAACAGCTATTTTACGGACTCATTCAAGTCCGTAAGATGCTTCTTTTCAGGATTTTTTTTTCTTTCTGGTTGCACCTTTATGATTTCAAAAATTAAGGAAATTTTGCAAATTTTAGCGTTCTGAAGAATTCTAAAAAGCGTATGACAAAAAATAGTGTTTGTCACACGTACCTAACGAAGTTTTTCAGGACGAATCATTGCTGTTTCCGACGAGGCGTTAGCCAAGTCCGGAAACAGCAATGATTCGTCCTGAAAAACTTCATTTTAGGTACTTTTGACAAAAATAACTATTTTGGTGAGAGAACTACATGGGCATTGGTTGACAAGTCATTACAAAATCATAGTTACTACAAATATTTACATCTAAATTAAAATAATACAAAAATTGAAGACTTTGATGCCAATACATAACTTTTTAATTCATGTTGATTTTGTGTCCTGATGAATGACTTTCTGGGATTTAATGTTGGCTATAGGACTTGGCACAAAGAAAACTCAATTTTCACTTGGTGACGTTTCGTACATAATATATTAGTACTTTTTCAAACCCTTAAGGTGCATCCAGACTGGTGCAACCAACAGCGCAATGTTTGAATTTGGTTGTGGAAATAATAATTCACACTGATGAGCTAAAAAGCAAGTGCTACCCAACTGACAAGGGATAAATTGTTATTAGAGAGATATCGGTAACCCAAAGAGCATCATGCAGTATTAGCGCCCACATTATTTTGACATTAAACCTATGCGCAAGTCGATTTTTAAAACTTTGTACTGAAATAACGTTACCGCATAACGTAATTTACCCAGCATTTACGTTAAGCGCTATTTCGAGTAAGGCCTAAACAAGGTTCAAATAGGCATATGCAGGTGGAATAATATAGATTATGTTTATTGTTTATTTTGTTCCATTATTCAAAAAATTATAAAAAAAAAGCATTGAAATTTCAAATCCTCTGACCCTGACCATAAGCAACAGACACAACACAAATCAAATCACAACAACGTACAAGTTAGGCTAAGGTTATAAAATAGCGGATGCGAACAGGCAAATTTTACGTAGAACTGTTTTCCGATAACTGTTATTTGAAAGCATGATACTGCTTCACATAAAAAAATAACCCCTGACGTTATTACCGTCCATACACACTATCTGGTTCACCGATTCTCTATTATTTTAATTATTGTCTAATTTGTTTTAATTATTCCTGTATATTTTTTTGTGTAAATCTTGTTAGGTATTTAATTTGATTATGTTTTACCAACCCATAATTTCAATGAGGTGTGTTTCCTGTTATCCTATGGCGTGTAAAGACTAATTGTTTTACAAGTAAGTTATTGTTTTGTTATTTTTACCATAGATGTTCTCTGTTTGTTAGTAGCTACTTAGTTTATTTTTCAAGTTATATACACTATTTGGACCTACGAGACCCATTTTAATAGTAGTTGTATGTTTTAGGGTTTGAAAAAGTACTAATATATGTATGAGACGTTACCAAGTGAAAATTGAGTTTTCTTTGCGCCAAGTCCTATAATCTATAACCCATGTTAAATCCAGAAAATAACTTTTTAAGTTCAAGTAATTGTAGATAAGAGGTTGTGGATATGTAAAAACTGCGAAATTTCCTATTTTGTCAAAGGGATTTAATTACCAGCCTGTTCCAACCGATATGAGAATCGAGAACCGTTCTTAAACCAGTAATTTCCAGTTGCACACCTATTTTCCAATAAGTTGAACGTTTATCCTACTTGACAAATGAATTGATCGACTGGAAATTACAGTTCTAGAATGGTTCTCATGGCAGTTGGAACCAATAACCCATTAACACAGATAGACAGAACATCCCATTGATAAAATAGTTTTGTTTTGGTTGACTACATGTTTATGGGCCAGGGGGGGCATAGAATAAGGTTTATAGTGGGTATAGAATGGACAGTCCCGTTATACGGATCGGACAACCATTTGTGGCGCCATCTGTTTTCTATGAAATGAGCTCATCCCATTGTAGCAGCTTGTAGAGCAGTTTGCTTCTTATTTTTTTTAGATTTGCTTTTTATTTATTTTATAATAAAGACACAATTTGATGCAAATTTAACAAATAACGGTTTATTACAAGGCCGCGTTCACCAGATACAAACGTTGGTAAACGCTTTACGATTGTTCTGCTGAACGCTACGTTGAATTTGTGTTGAAACCAAACATGTTTTGCAAACAGTCGCCATTTTTGCAAGCATAATTTAAGAGTGTTTATAATTTTCAACACTTTTTGTTTTGTGTGGTGACATGACATTCAGAGGGTGACGTTCTATCATTGAAAAGTTGAATCGTTTAGCAGAACCAAGAGTTTATCTAACGTATTCTGTTGGTATTGTAAACGGTTAACAACCCGTTTTGGTTCTGGTGAACGTAGCCATTGAGAAAAGAAAAATATGTTGGCTTCTCGAAACTTGTCAACAAAAGCCGCTTTCCAGCTGCCCATTTTGAGCACGTAATCGAGCTATTGCGCGCACAAATGCTTCAAGCGCGTGTTTGTGTTCCAGCCGTACTGCGCTCCGAGATCTGCTAACTTTTGCGTTTCAAACACAGAACACTGTGCTGCACCGTGCTTGAAGCACACAGCTGGAAAGCGGCTAATGTCAACACTTAACAACACAGAATTGAATAACAATAATAGTCTTTACACTAAACATAACACTGTGAAAGTCCACAAATACACACAGATAACGCTCTATCACTACGAAACACTTTTTCAACGAACAGAAATATTAAAGCAACAATAAGAAGCACAACGTTTTCCAGTTCATCGTTTTGTCATCATTTGTCATTTCATGAATTTATGTCGGTTCATGTCATAATTTAATTAGTAATCATGTCACCCTTCTTCTGAAGCGGAGACACAGATTAACTCGTCCTAAAGATAGGAAACTTCCATGTAAAATGTTCGTTCGGAGCTGTCTAAAAAATTACACGTATGAGAGTTCACAAAACATCCCCCCTTAGAAAGGTAAGTGCCGTGTTGAGAACCTGTCTATTACAGTGGCTAAATAAACCTTTACATACAGTGGCGACAATAGAGGTTCCGCCGCCATCTTGTTCCCAATCTCTTGTTACTTTTAAATATTAGTATATAGGATTTAAATGGACATCTATCATAAAAAATTGAAATCGACGTATTTGATGACCATTATTAGGTCCATCAAATACGTTGTTTTCCATGATTTATGATGGATGTTCATCTAAATCCCATATATTCATATTCAAAAGTAACAAGGGGTTGGGAACAAGATGGCGGCGTTTTTAATATAAATATATGGGATTTTAGAACCAATCAAAAATGAGACAGCAATTGTCGCCACTGTGGGTTATAGAGTCACTGTACTGTCTATAAGTTTTCAGCGCCTCTAGTGACTGGGGGGGTAAGCTTTTGTAATTCTGGATTTATTGGCGAATGCAAAACGCAATTAGGGTTCGTTCAGTATCTTATTTGTTCCGGTGGATCGTTTGCACCATTGTTTGATTCTAGCGATTCAACACCACCACTTTAAAGTTTCTACCATTTTTTGGCATAAAATAATTGTGCCAAAATGAAGAAACTCATAAAATGGGTAGTGTTGAAGCGCCTTCAAGGTAAAATTGACTAAAAATTAAGATGACAAATTTAGATATTTATTAAAGTTTGAAACAGAAAATATTAAAGAATATGGAATTAATTACAATTATTGCGAAACAGTTTTTTTTCATGTAAGTATACATACATAGGTAGGTAATGCTAGTTAAGTTAAAGATAATAAGGACAGTTACAAGAAGTAATGACGTACATTTAACAATAGCTTGATGAAAAACTTAAATCAAATAAAATGACAAAAGAGGTCCCTTTCTCACAATCCAAAATCGTTGTTAACCTAACAAGTGAGGAAAGTGTTTCTGCACGTGATGGAAGTTGCACGAATGACAACAAAAAGCAGAGTTCAAACAAGTCCAGAAAATACACTTTCCGCATGTGTTAGGTAGAAAGTTTATGTAGTTATACATAATATAAAGCTCATTCAAGAAAATGATTTCGCCTGGATGATAGAATAAATATTTTTGATAATAGTCTATACCCTTTACCACTAGCTTTAAGCAAAGACAACACCAACAACTTCTCGTCCAATGTAAATCGTCTAGCTTTAGGCTTTTGGTTGTGAGTACGGACTTGGCTTAAAATAAAGCTGTATATCAATGGATTGACGTGGTCTACGACCCTTTGAAATTTGGTTTATGATGCAAGTTATTCAGCAGTAGAAACTTTGGATTTAAATGACGACAACCTTCTACTGATTCTTCTTAACTTATTGCTGGATTCTATAACTTTGGAATAAAGATATTTTTCCCTTGGGGATAGGAATTTTTTGCCTAGTGACGTTAATGTTCTTTAAAATTTGGCATTGTCCCTCATGACCTGCAAAAAAAAAATAGATCAAGATTGGAGACGAGCACATTTAGCTTCTAATTTTTCTAGCATTCGACTGCAAGTTTTAGTAATTAGTAGTCTTTTATAGTAGTAGTCCTACTTGAGTTAGGATGTTTTAAAATTCACCTACTTCCAACTGGGTGGTTATTCATTAAGCAATAACACTTAGGTACCTACCAATAAAAGTTTTAAGAGACAAAGTTGGTTGGTGACTTTTTCATGTTTGCAGATGTGATGGTTCCACTTAGTGTAGCAATGTCTGCCCGAATTGCAGAAGTTTCAGTAGATAAAAATTGACGACATGAAGGGCCTGGTTGATCTAAAACAGAAATTTCGTTACCAATGATTCTACCAAAAAAGTTTGGATACATGCATTGTAGAATATGGTGTACCAGGAATATTTTAATTATTGTGTCTCCTGATAAAGGAATAAACATTTAAAAAAAAGAAATGAATAATATTAGCTTTGTTCCAACACAGCAGAAAACCG